AAAACGTTGACCTTACTCAAAAAACCCATAAAGAACGGTACTGACTATGTGCTGATGTTGCCCGTAGCTCTAGGACACGGATTCATTTACCATCCCGCGATTACAGGAGAAGTATGTTGTATATTCAGTTGTCTTTATTTGAAAAGATGGAAAAAACATATTCAAAGGAAACCATTTTTACAGGTTGTATAGATATATCACAGGTAAAAATACCTTTTTTTGAAAACGGAGTTACATGTTCTGCTAAAAGTCGCAAATGAATAAGAAATTGATTGCCCTACAATCTTTTCCACATCCATTATACACTGATACTAAAAATATTCCTCCTACTCTAGGGTGGCCCTGTCGCTGGACACTCCGGTAGCGGCTGTCAAGAAGTGGTCTTTGATTTTGAAAATAATGTTGTTATCGCATATATCACTAATGGATTGAAGATCGGGATGTACGATGGTTGTCGCCCATATGCGCGATTACAAAAAGCTGTTTATGACGTCATAAGGGGATCTTGACTCGTCTATCCTCCTGATTGTACCTTATTTTGTGCTGTACTTTCATTTTCAGCTCCCTTTGCTCTGAGCACGGTTTCCTCCAAATAAGTTGATGTTTGCTCTCATCATTTTCTCTTAAACTCTGTTTTCTTCAATTAAATCAATGGTTGTGGATCTTAGAATTATATTGTATGCTGATTCTTTGTTGATTCCATCAAAAATCCTAAAACATTAAAAAAATGTCTTTAAAATGTTTTTATCATTCTTCTTCAATCTTCTATAGTTCTGCTTCTTATTTGAAAACCATTGCAACGTGACGGAAGTTTATTTTGCATAAAATGGGGCCAAGAAAGGCATTTTCTTTAGAAAAGTTGTTGTCTAGACTATTAAAAAGGTTTATTTTGAATTTGCTTTAGGTAGTTGGAATATGTTTGTTCGGCAAAATAATTGCAAATGGATCAAAACCTGATTTCATTAATTGAAAACAAACAATCTACATTTAATAAAACTCATGCTGCAAAATCTTTCATTCCGAGACGTACACAGACTAATAACTATCCAATTATTTGACTCTTGCAAAGATCATTGTTCAAGTTGTTCTAACCTTGCGCAT